AACAATAATGCAGCATGTCAGACAACATGAATGGACTACTTTTTATGCTGCATAATAGTTTCCCTGTGAAACCTGCACTACAAGTACATTAACAGCATCACTAGTACTAAAATTAGATCTATAACTGCTCAATTTTGGTCGCCATTTTTAAATTACATCATGTGACGTCATTTCTGGACACGCCCACATCTACTTCCGGGGCCGATAACTTTAGGAGATCCGGCTGGGCTCAGAAAAAATTACTGAACTCCTGGACTCTTGCATTACTACCAAGCCTTTTAACAAAGTTATCTAGCCGCCTTATCATGATTTCATCAGTTTCCAGTGCTTTAAGGAGCAATCAGAAATTCAGAAGTACCAGTAACATGCAGTATGCTTGAAATGATCTTGGCCCCACCCGTAATTGACGAAAATGCAGGAAAAGGCCGTTTTACCTCCGTAAAAGTGGGTGTAGCCAAAATCGTGGCGCGCGCGCGCCCTCAGCACCACCCCTTCGAAGCTTCTCCCAATTCCTAGATACGCCCCTGCAAAGCCTCTTCCTTTACTCAGTCTTTCTTCGAGCGGTCGAGCCTCCTTTAAATCTTTAGCTGTCTGAATTTCCTCTGAAGAATCTCTCCTGTTAGCTACTCTGACCTTACAGGCAGTACTGATCAAGATGTCACTAGCAAGCCAGTGCTGGGATGCGTTTGACAGTGGAGATTATAAAGAAGCTGTTCGCTTATTACCACTACTGAAGGTGGAGGCCGCGGAGCCAAATAGTATAAACTTATCGGATATACATAATACTAGTTTACTTCATTTGTCTTCAGGGCATGGCTGGTTGGATGTTACAAAAGATCTCATCACTCAATATCACTGTGACCCACACCAAAGAGATAATGGTGGTAAGACCTGTCTTCATTATGCTGCACAGCATGATTGTGTTGATGTGATGAGATATCTCATTGACGAGTGTCACTGTGATCCAATGGCTGTTGATTCTAGGAACAGGACAGCTCTTCATCATGCAGCTAGTAATGATTCGCTTGATGTAATCAAATATCTAATCAATGAGTGTAACTTAGATCTAATGGCTGCTGACTGGAGGGGGCTGACACCTCTTCACTGTGCTGCTGCTGGTATGAGTCGTTCTGCAGCTGTTGAATATTTGCTATCAACTGGTAAATGTGATCCATTGGCTAAAGACAATGAGGGGAGAACACCATTGAAACTAGCTAAGGAGAGTGGTGACACTGATACTCTTTTTGTCTTCAAGAAGTTTGGTGGTATAAAATCATCTCATCCAATTGATTCTTATGTTAACGTTCTCCTTGTGGGTAATGCTGGAGCTGGTAAAAGTACTCTTAGTCATGTCATCAATGACACAGCTACTGGTTATATTGTTCTTGGTTCCTTTAAAAATGTTGGAGGGGTAGTGCCCTGTACTGCTGGCATCATTCCTTATAAACTACAACACAGGACACTGGGTAACATCATTCTTCATGATTTCGCTGGTCATCCAAAATACTACTCCAGTCACAGTTCTGTCATTGCGAATCTATTACAAGGTTCTGGTGGTGTTTTCCTGATAGTAGTCAATATATTAGAGAAGGAAGCAGTCAAACATCTTCATCAGTGGCTAACAGTTGTGAGAAATGAAGCACAGAAAGCTCTTAATCAATGCCATGTTATTGTGATAGTCAGTCATGTGGATGAGATAAGTAATCCTGTTGAAAGGAGAAGGAGAAAGGAAGAAATACAGAAGACTGTTGTAAGGGAAAGGTGTGATAGTGTCTTCTTAGATTGTCGTAAGCTTGGTGGGAGTGGTGTGGATTCGTTCTTTAATAAGTTGTCTAGTGCCTGTGAGTCCATTCGTAGTACAAGTGGAAGGAATTTGAGTCTTTATTGTTACATGATGTATGGTCTACTGGAGGAAAGGAAAAAGAATATACTGACCCTCTCTGATATAATGTCTGCTGGTAAGGACAATGATGATTACTTTATACCAGATAAGAGAGAAGATGTCTTGGATGTTCTTCATTCGTTGCACTCAACTGGTTTGATCGTTCTTCTTGAAAGTAAGCGTAAGGTATGGGTTGTTGTAAATAAAGCCATACTACTAACTGAGGTGGATGGAATTCTCTTTGCTCCAGAGACATTCAAAGAACACTTTGACATTGCTAGCAATACTGGTATTGTTAGTGTGTCTGGTCTGACTAGACTCTTCCCTCAATATGATCCTGACATGTTGATCTGTTTCCTGAGGAAGAACATGAGACTCTGTCAAAAATTGAAACCATCTTTTCTAAGAATGACAAACTTAATAACAGGAGATATAGAGGAGACAGGAGACAGTGCCTCTGAGACTCAAAGAAGAGGAGAAAATTTGTTGTTCTTTCCATGTCTTTTGTCTACTGATAGACCTGATGAGATGACTAGTCAAGTGTACCAGTTTGGTTGGTGTCTACAGTGTACTAGTAAACATCATTTCTTTCCTCCTCGATACTTCCATGCCCTTTCATTACATCTTGCTTCTAAATTTTTGTTATCAAAAGAGAACAAGGAATTAGCTGAAAAATTGAGTTGTAAATTCAAATTTTGGAGTAACGGTCTTCACTGGTTTAATGGTCATGGTGTAGGATCACTGGTAGAGATTGTGGATGAGAGCCAGTGTGTACTAGTAATGATGTCCTGTGAGAAAGGTTACAGTGACAATATGGTTTCTTTAAGAAGAGATGTGATAGGAGAGGTAATGAGTGTTTATAAAAAATCTTGTCCCAGTCTAGAGGTAAAAGAGTTAGTTATTGATCCTAAAGAACTAGCCTATCCTGTGAATACACCAAGAGAAAGGACAGTGTATAGTGTAAAAGCTGTACTCTTAGCAGTAGTTGAACAACGACCATTTCTATTTACCACTGGTACTAGACGTACAGAATTGAAGGAGATCCTACCTGATGAATCATTATCAGATATTAGTAACCTTTCACTGTTAGGAGGACGTGGTATTAAGGTATGAATTGACACATTCACACTATTTGATACTGTGATGCATATGTCTTATCAAATTACATCATAATTGTGAGTTATCATTGTGTGGCTTTTACTGCCTTAAGCCTACTATTTTTAGCGTCTACTAAATTTAGCTATATTAGCGAGAGAGTAAACCGCTAAATTAAATTGACGCCAAAATAATTATTATTCATTACAATAGTTGTTATTTAAAGTTAATTTGGTTAAAAACGCTAAAATTAGTATCGCTAAACATGACTTTTGCTGATTTCGCTAAAATTAGTAGACGCAAATAATAGTAGGCTTAAAGTATTATCAATACTCATCGGTTCATGGATATCCATGATCAGTTGAATTAACTTACCTAAGCACAGTAAATAATATCAGTTATTATTATTATTATTGTATAGGAAGTGATTGAAACAACTGAAGAATTCAACACAGACGCTACAACTACAATAAAGCCAGGTATGTATCTATCACAATTGTCAAGTAGTGGGAGTGTGTGTATGTAAGAGATACAAATACAAAAAGCCCAAGAGCGAGGTACATAATAAATGATTTACATGTGGAGTCACACATTCATTATGTTATGAAAGTATGATGTGGTGGGATTCATGTTACAAGAATGAAACTTAAGTGCAATATAGCCAATGGCCACAGTTAACATAACGTAAGAATAGAGGTTATTCTTATCCTTACATTAAATTGGTTTATATTACACTTTCTGTATTAACTTAGAGGAACTTGGACACGGAAGCGCAGACCAAATAATTAAGATGATGTAATGTTTCA